ATTAAACCTTTTGATGCTGTTACTACTACCAAGCTGATGATAGTAATCATGTTATTATGAACATTATGTTAATAATAAGACTGAATCTTTTAGAAATAAAGAAGTGATAACAATAACAATTTAATAGTATCTATATTCTTCATGTATCATCAGAGAAGGTGCAATATCAAGCATGAACTATGTGACGGGACAGACTAGCACACTAGTCACAGAAGGAGAGGTAGGCTTTAAACAATAAGGTTACTGGCTGGGGACAGAAAATAAAAGAGCAGGGTAGGAGTTACCTAAAACTATCTAAAGATAGATATTCCTCAATGGTTAGAATTATGAAATGAGTCTGCATCAGAGATGCAACCCTATGGTACCTTAGGGATATGCAGGTAAATTTACCCATATCCAGGCAGAGTATCTGCACAATAACATCATGAAACCAGAAAATGAAGCATAGAATCGAGGATCTTCTGCCATAAGATCCAGAAATAGGATTGAGTACATAAGCAAAGATTCCAAGTAGCAAAGGACAAGTCTCTCAACAGTCAATGGAATTCTCTCCTTGGCTTTCTCTTCATTATATAGTTCATTAAGGATTGACAGAAGACATTTTAGTATGACTTTAAGAACCGACCAAGCTAGCACAACAGATGTCAGATTGTATATTCAAATGATACATAATGGCTGGAACCTAGGCAAAAATAAACCAGGATAAATGTAACATAGAAAATGTAAATTTTATCATTTTAAAAAGAGTAGATATCAATACTACAGGAATTATTACATTATAAAAATAAGAATTAAATATGCTTGTCAGGGATCAGAGTTTTCTAAAACTCGACTCATGCATGCATTAAAATAATAAGCCTAAAAGCTTGATTTGTGTTTGATTAGAATTAAAAGACACTATATGTCACAATGGTATTTGATGACAAGCCCTGAAATGAAAACATCTTGACTTGAATACTGTGCTGGCCATCAGTAGTCTCATCAACACAAAGAATAGGAAGAGTAGATTTGCATTCTAGTGATCATGGGAGTCAAATGAACACAGAGCTTTTAAGAGACAGGTCAGGTTGAAGGAAATGCCATATATGAAACTTATGAAATTTAAGTCTGAAAAAAGTTCAAACTTTATAAAAGTGTACAATTGGTAATGTCTGGCTCAACAGTCTTAAGAGAAAGATATGGGACTTTCTAATCACACAAGCTCACTGAGTCAATCCTGAAGGTGGTGCATTCCACGAAGTTCTGCAATTGTCATTTAATATCTAAGTCATCATAGTTCTTTCTGGCTAACATATTTAAAATGTAAAATACTAAAATGAACTCATGCATAAAAAGATAAACTGTATTAATGAGGTATTGCAGAAAGCTGAATAACAAATACTTGAAGAACATGAAGATGAATAGATAGCTCTCAGAAGACCCAATATATTCAAATAAGTTTACATGTTTACTTCTTTGTCTATTTGTTTCTCTAAGAACAAAAACAGAATGCAAGGAAGAAAAAGAGACTACCTATCATTTAGAATTGTACAAAAATAGTATCCGTTTTTTCATAAGATATCAGTTCAAGGCCGTCTATAATTGGTCCTAAAGGAAAGAAGTTGAGCTCTAAGTTAACTAGTCTTTGGAAATTTGTGATTCTGTGCATGGCATGTAGAACTTAGAGACTGGTAATATCTTTGTGTGGTCTCTAAACTGTTGCCCATTAGCCGGTTCATACTCACCTGTCCTCTAAGCTAATAACAAATTTGCATCCAGATTATATAAATATCAAGGTCACAGAAAAATATGAATGCAGCCAAAATTAACTATGCTTTCTAAAATGTTTGTTCCACCCATAAAGGCTTTGCTTAACTATAGAAATAAAGACTTCTGTTTGTTCATGATTAAAAAAAAAATCTATCCAATACTTTTTTTTCTTTTTCTTACTATTATTTATCCTCACTCCCAGATCCACTTTGCCTAAATTAACTGGCCACTGCAAATCAAGATAAGAAAAGCAAGATTACTTTCAGTACAAAATTGCACAGACAGACACTGAATTCAGTCTGCTTCTTGGGTCCTTTCTCTGGCTCAAAGTTAAGATGTTCTTGTAATGTTCCATTTAGGAGCTTAATGTTTTTTCAATAAAGTGATTATAAAGTTTACATGTTTAATTAATTTGCAGCTAAATAATTATAGGCCCTGCTCTTCTCAGTGAAGGAGGGAAACTAACAACAATAGAGGGAAGTTTTTCTTTTCAAATATGAGACAAGAAAGAGAACAATAAGTTTATGATTCTAATTTCATCATTTTATAACTAAGGAAACTCAGTCCAAATGAATTACATATCTTGGCTCAAGTGCTAACACTAGCCAATGAAAGTGCCATGACTAAAACTCCTATCTTCTAATTCCTAATCTATTGTTCTTTGTACCCAGGGTAATTTGCAAAACACTTTTATTTGTTACTTCATTTGACTCTCAAAAATGTCTCTGGAAGTTACCTAATAAGAAAACTGAAACTTAAACTCATAGATTTAAAATGTAGTTCAAGTTATATTTAAAATATAAGTTTAAATCAGCTGGCTCCTCCATTTTATCTTCAGCCCTTACCTGTCACTGGATACCAAACTCATATATCTACCTGCCCTCATGACATATTTAATTAAATATCTACTTTGTATCTCAAACTTAACATGCCAAAATAAAATCCGATTTCCTTATCCATCCTCTGCTCTTACCCAACAGTACATTGGGCTGTCAAATCTTATTAGATGGTACCAGTGTTTAGACCAAAAATCTATGCATTATCCTTTAGTCTTCTTTTTTTATTCTCCCCAATATCTCAATCATTAAGCACATCTGTTGACTACCAGCAATACATATCTCAAATCTATTCAATCCTTTCAGCTTCGTAACTACTGGTTCAAGCCACCTTCATTTCTTGCCCAGGTTATCACTGTATTGCTCTGCCTGGTCGCTCTGCTTTCACTATTGTCCATCTGCAATTTATTCTTCACAAAGCAGTCATGAAAGTATTTGTGAAATGCTAATCATATTTTGATAGACCTCTGCTGTAAATTGTTTGTGGATTTGTACCTGTACAAAAGAAAACATAAACTTACGTAGTGTGACATGATCCCGTTCTTGTTTTCCAAATTGATTATATACTTCCCTCTAGCCACTGGCTTTGTTTTGTTTTATTTTGTTTTGTTTTTTGACAAGTTCACCTTGAGCCCTTAGATCCTTTACATTAGCTCTTTCCCCATCTGGAATGCTCTTTTCCTATTTTTCAACTATCCAACCTAAAGTAACCACCTAGCAATCCTCTATCACAAAGACCATTCACAGTAACCAGATACAGGAATACCAAAAGGAAAATTTAAGTCAATTAATACTTAAAATTTCAGCCAATAATAAAATCCACTGAATGGATACTCCTATAAAGATGATATGCTAGATCCTGAAGGTCCCAATCTGATATAATAGACATGAGGGAATCCTGATCAAGTGATACAAAGAAACCATATTTAAAGAATATTTTAAAAGCTATGACTACTAAATCTCAATTAAGATGTACAGACATGTGCAAACTAAGATCTCAGAAAAAAAAAAAATAACACTGCTCATTTCATGCCAAGCTCCAAGCAAAGCACTTTATATGTATAACTCATTAAATCGTTACACTAGCCTTGTGAATTAGGTAAAATGTACAAATGAAGACACGGAGATACAAGAGAGGTTAGAAAACTGTCCTTTCAAATTTAGAGTTTGGACATCTTCAAGCTTACCAAGTAGTGACAAATTATTTCACAGAGAGATTATACAAACATACACTTCTACCCCAAGGGCAGTCTATAACATTCACCTCTGTCTCACATCCTTGCCAACTCTTGACATTGTCATAAATTTTAACTTTTGCCGAAATGCTGAATGTGAAATGAAAGCTTTTATGGCTTTGTTTGAATTTGCCTGATTAATAACGAGCTTGAGAATTACTTCATGTTTGTTGTCCACTAATGTTTCCTTTTCTGTGAAATATCTTTATATGTTTGCTTCAGTTTTTAAGTTGTGTATATATTTACTTATTTGACTCATAGAAGTGCTTTACATATTCTAGATTCAAATTTTTTGTTGATTTCATGTGTGGCAAATATTTACTGTAATTGTAAACTTGTATTTTCATTTTAAAATATGTACCTTGTTGAATTAAAAATTTAAATTATAACTTAATTCTTTTTAAAATGCCTATATAGTTTATACTTTAAAAAATTATTCTGTTCTCAAATGCAATAAATGCATTTTTCTGATAGTTGAAAAGTTTTGCATTTCACATGTAACTCTTCAGTCTTAGGTTTAATTATTGCACATGGCATGAGGTAAGCACCTAAATTTATATTTTCCCTAATGAAAAACCAATTGCTTTATCACTTTTTATTAAAGAGTCCAATCTTTTCCCTGACTGATCTGTATTCCACCTCTATCATATAGCAAGAGTATGTATGTGCAAGAGCCTGTTTCTGAATTCAATTTTATGTTTCATTGGGTTATTTGTCCATCCAGGTGAATTTCACCCTCTCTTAAATTATGACAGAATATAGAGGCAGTACAACATCATGCTTAAAAGAGTGGTCTCTGGGACCACGTTACCTTAGTTTGATTTCTAGTTCCATCATTGCTAGCTGTGTGACCCAGAGCAAGTTGCCTAACCTCTCTTGTCTCCCTTTTTCTTCCCTGTAAAACGGTGATAATAACTCTACCCATTCCAAAGGTTATTTATGTGTATTAAGTCAATACACATTTAAAACAAAAAAATATAACAGTGTCTGGGGTGTAATAATGTTTAGCATAAGTTAATATTGCCTTATTTTTTAAAACTAAATCCATTTCTTTCAGACTCAAGATAGCTGGGCAAAAGAAGTAAAATCTGTTATTACATAGGCAAATAAAAACCACTTTCATTTTGTCCTCTTTCCATTTTCAAAATGTAATTAATATCATTATCTTGTTAGGTCATACCTGCTGTCCTCAAGCCTGCTGTCATTTCTCCATGAAGAATTGTCCTTGAGGAGCGATTTGGCCCCTGGCCCTGGCCTGCTGCCAGCCTTCTGCTTATTTCCTTGGACCCGCTGTGTGATGTATTGTTTCCAGATTCAGTATTGTTTAATGTTCATACACCAAACACTAATCGAGGTTTCCAGGAGCTTATTCTTCCAAGTCAACCCTGTGCCAGTGCTGGGTCCAATCTGTCCAAGGCCCCATGGGAAACCATCCATCCAAATCCAGGGATGCATGAGCTTGGCTGTCTGGATGGGACACTAGATCTCCCCTAGGGTCCACTTGGCCTTTAAGTCTTTGGCCTGGAAAACGCCAAGACTTTGGAGACTTCAAAGATAAGACTTGTAGGAGAAGGTCCATCTGTGAATGAAAGCAAAAACAAAAACAAAAACACTCCAAATGGTTGTTTTGTCTCAGTTAACAATAGGGGCAGAGATGTTAAAAGAAATAGTAAGCGACCATTTCCTTCAGGTTGCAGTATGTTCCATGTGCTGCACCTGAGACCGAATAAACAATAAATATATAGAGAGTGAATGAATGATAATAACAAGAATAGTATTACATTTTACCTCCATGAGTTTCCTTTTCCAAAAGATTTTCTCACACATCTCATTTTAAGTTTATAAACATGGAAAATAATGCTCATTATACACTCTCCATATTAACTTCATTTTTGCCATTTGAAAAGTGAAGAAAGGACAAATATATGGATTTTACCAAAGTTACACAACTACGTGTCTTCTGCCTTGATTATTCATTTAATGATTATTGAATGTCTGTCTTCCAGTAACTGCTAGCTACTAGAAATGCAAAGATATTTAAAATAAGGTCCTTGATCACTTCCTTCCCTGCCCATTCACCTCCAGATTCACATCATAGCTGTGAAATAGGTACATAAATATGTAAATATAAAACAAACTTGTAAATGCTATTACAGAAATATGTACAAAGCACTGAGACCAATATGATAAAGGGACAAATTACAGTTAGAAGGGCTAAGAAATGTCTTAAAAAATCAATAGAACTTCCAAGATAAATAAATGAAGTGCCTTAAAGATAGAGAAAAGCATACAGGAGCAAGGTGATTTTATCTTCAGGAATGGAATATGGGCTTCTATTGGAATTTTTTTTTTTTTAATGAGGATAAATGCAGGGTGGGCCTAAAGGAGTTGAAAGATTTGAAAGAAATAAGTAACTGTTCCAAAAACCATCAATAATGGTCATGAGCATCAAATAAAATAAAAAGGGAAAATATATAGTAAATGTTAAATACAGATATTAGGTACTGTATTTCTCATTTTATGACATATGGTGGACCATTGGTTTCCCTCCAGCATCTATTCTCTCTTCCTCTATCCTTGTAGATCCATGATTTTATTCAAGTATCAATTCTACCCACACACCTCAGGGTGAACCCATCCACAAATCTGGGGGTGAGTCTGATTGGTCTAGAAGTAATTCCTCTCCCTTCACATTGATTGATTCAAATTTTTATAGGTAATCCAACTGAGATCAATAATAAAAGATCAATATTTGTTGAAAAATAATCTTCCTGATTAATAAAGCTAACACTGTTTTCCTTGGATGCCATCTTATTCTAGGAATTAATCTCTCCTCTAAAGCCTGAAGATGGTGCCAACACTGCGTAGGGGGGAGAATTAGAAAATTTAGATAAAGAGATTCACAGATGAATTAAGTCAATTCTTGAAATCTGACTTTTTGCTGTACTTTCTCTTATGTAAAACAAAAACATTTTTTATGGTTTTAGCTAGTTTGAGTTTGGTCTCCATTACTTGCAACATAAAGCATCCTGAAAATGTCTTTGTAAATTTTTTTTGAATTATACTTTAAATTCTGGGATACAAGCGCAGAACATGCAGGTTTGTTACATAGGTATACACATGCCATGGTGGTTTCCTGTACCCATCAACCCATCATCTATATTAGGTATTTCTCCTAATGCTATCCCTCCCCTAGCCCCTCACACCCCAACAGGCCCTGAGGTGTGATGTTCCCCTCCCTGTATCCATGTGTTCTCATTGTTCAACTCCCACTTATGAGTGAGAACATGCAGTGTTTGGTTTTCTGTCCTTGTGTTAGTTTGCTGAGAATGATAGTTTCCAGTTTCATCCATGTCCCTGCAAAGGACATGAACTCATCCTTTTTTATGGCTGCATAGTATTCCATAGTGTATATGTGCAACATTTTCTTTATCCAGTCTATCATGGATGGGCATTTGTGTTTGTTCCAAGTCTTTGCTATTGTGAATAGGGTCACAATGAACATACATGTGCATGTGTCTTTATAGTAGAATGATTTCTAATTCTTGGGGTATATACCCAGTAATGGGATTGCTGGGTCAAATGGTATTTCTAGTTTTAGATCCTTAAGGAATCGCCACACTGTCATCCACAATGGTTGAACTAGTTTAAAATCCCACCAACAGTGTAAAAGTGTTCCTATTTCTCCACATCCTCTCCAGCATCTGTTGTTTCCTGACTTTTTAATGATCGCCATTTTAACTGGCATGAGATGGTATTTCATTGTGGTTTTGATTTGCATTTCTCTTATGACCAGTGATGATCAGCTTTTTTTCATAACTTTGCTACTCTCTACATTATTGAAGATAATTATGCTAAAGGGAAAAAACATTTTCTACTTTTAGGGGAAAAAAATCTGATAATTATGTAGCCATATCATTATTTATCAATGTGGACAACTCAATGAATATATTTCTGCAAGCCAACCAACCAGTGACAGCACTTTGCTTCTAAAAGTTAGGCAATCAGAAGTAGATTAACACTTATGAACATGCTTCTGAATGTTAACTAATGAAGAAGTCTCACTTGATCAGGCATACATCTGTAGTTAAAAACAACTCACTCCCACCTCTGAAAGTCTGGCAGACTCTGAATTCCTCCCTTCCTAAAAATCTTACACATAAAATTTATGTTTAAGAGCAAAGTCCTGCTCTGCTCTAAAAGCATATGTTTGACCAGCATAGGCTTTTTCACTTAAATAAGCAATATATTATTTTTCTTCTTTGTGTTTTGTATTTGGGGTATTGATTGGTGGTCTCATCCTTTGTTAGTTACCTGGAGCTTAGTGCATACTGAGAGTATATCATTTTTGGACATATTACCAAAGTTTTATATGCCATGTAAGAAAGTCTGGTCAATGTTTGGACATTGTCTCCTGACATCTCCTTCTTCATAAAAAGGGCCCTGACAATCAACCATTTACTTTATCCAAAGACACAATGTGGACAAAGTGATACTTGCAGATATTGCTCACTCAGTTCTCAGAATATTTATTGGGTTAAACAAACAATCTTGTAACATAAGATCAGGACAACTTTTCATTTCATTTAAAATTCATAAAAAATTCAGTCTTTTCATTTAAAAATGAGAGTATAATTTACTAACGCTTGAGTGTGTTTTGGAATGCTTTCACTGATATTTAAGCAGATTTACTACTGCAGACATACTCTCTATTGAAAAAAATTTATCTGATGTATACATTAGTAAACAATATGTTATATAAAGAATCACCTTCTATCTCATTTGATTCATAGACTGGATTGCTTTGTTTTGAATTCTTTAATATCTGGTTAACTTGTAAAGATACTCTATTTCTGCTGTCATATCTTTAAAATGCAATAATTTTATGTCTTCCATATAACCAAGATATTACTACAATCAGTATAAATCTGTATGTTGATGAGTAGCCCTCAGTTGCCTATACAAACAATTGATCTTTACGTATATCACTCAATAAATCTCTTGTTCATGTAGCAAAGCAGGCAGATATAATACTGCAATCTACAAAATGTGATTTAGGAGTTGTCCTGATCAAAAACACCTTCCTCAACCACACCTGAATAATGCTGGATAGAGTTTAAAATACATTATGCCAGCTGGTCACAGTGGCTCATTGCTGTAATCCTAGCACTTTGGGAATCCGAGGCAGGTGGGTGGCTGAGCCCAGGAGTTCAAGAGCACCCTGGGCAACAATGCAAAACACTACCTCTACAAAAAGTACAAAAATTAGCCAGGTGTGATGGTGCATGCCTGTAGTCTCATCTACTCAGGAGGCTGAAGTGGGAGGATCAACTGAGCCTGGGAAGTTGAGGCTACAGTGAGCCGTGATCGTGACATTGCACTCCAGCCTAGACAACACAGTGAGACCCTCTCTCAAAATAAATAAATATAAATAAATAAATAAAATAAACACAAAGAAAGATAACACATCAAGCTATAAGAATTTACAATTAAATTAGTTAATAAGATTAATTTCACCTGTTTTAGGAGGACCAATGGGCGTCACTAGAACAAGAGTTATCTAATGGGAGAGAAGTGGGGGTGTTCTTATATTGCTGTAAGAGGAGAATAATAATAAAGTGTCTTAAAGTCAATTTTACATAGCAGGTAATCCTCAAAGCGAGTCAGCACAGCAAGTATGCAGTCAGCCCTTGTCCACCATTAGTTACCTGTGAGAGTCAGGCAAATGGAAAATTGACTTGCCTGAGGTTAGTGGCAGCTTGCCTGCCCAGTGTGAAAATTATTAGGTTAGAATTCCAATAAAATAAAGATTCTCCAGCTTTCTCTCACTTTAAAATATACTTCAGTAAGGATTATTGGAACATAAAACACTTTATTATCTATGGAGAAAGACAGGCCATTTGAGTCAAGTTAACTTTCACCAAGAAGCTTTAGTACTCTGCTCTACATGACAAACTTCAAATAGGGAAAATGATGTAAAAATTATTTGGATTATTCAGGTAAATGTTTACATAAGATATAATAGAGAGGGTTAAGAGACACAGGGATATAACAACAAAAAAATACATCTGTAGTTTATGTGACAGTGTTTAAAGAGATAGATATGTTAGTTTTCCGAAATTTACACTGTCCCAGTTTGAACTACAAAATTGTGCCAGATCCTATTCATTTGCACTTTAGTAAAAATGACCATTTTTCAATAATGTTAAGGTATATAAGCAAAATTCAAAATAATTTTAGGTAATTTTTTCGTACATTTATTGACATTCATGCAACCCATCATCTAAGTGAATTTCTTTACACAGTAGCTACTTGAATTGGTTCTTGAAACTCAAATTTGAACTTCCTCTTAGTTGAAAATTTAGAAAACACACACAAAAAAGGAGGAAAAAACCTACATTTCCTTGATTTACTTTCAACCAGGATTTGGATGTGATTCAGGTTCCCCTAATTTGATGCACTTGGATATCAGCTGAAAAGGCAGATGTGTGGAGGAGGCTAATTCCTCTGCTGTAGCATTGGTGTTTAAAATCAGAGCTTCCTCCTGTCCTAGACTCCTATCATATTCTTTCATATGGC